TAGAAATGTGCGGCTCTTGGACCGGAGGAAACAGGGAGCAAAGGGCCAGGGGTGAGGCAGTGGTCCAATGTTAAGTTCCAGGTTCAGGCGAAGTTCACTCGGGACTCCCCTGGCTGCCATCTCAGCACCAGGTGGCACCATGGGGGGGTCATAGGTCGGACATAGTTCAGAAAGCGCTGACCTCGCCGTGACTCTGCGCTGACCTGATTGTCTGCAGCTCTGCTCCGGCCTGGGCTTTCTCACTGCTCCCTCTATAAAGTTGTGAGAGGAGAAAGGAGGTGGGGTGGGGTCGCTAAGAAGTGGAAGGAAGCCGGAGAGGAACTATTAAACCTGCACACACAGTGAATGGCCAGCATTGTTGCGTGCTGCAGGAGGAGGTGTGGATTTATGAGGCTGAGCCTGATTGGGTTGTAAACTTGACGAGGTGGGCTCGCGGCCCGGCCACTCGCTGCCCTGCTCTCCTGCCAGGAGGACTCGGTGCATGCACTGGGCAAGGGTGACGCGGGGGTCATGGGGGGCTGAGGCATGGCTCCCTGGGCTTGTAAATGCCCTGACAGGGGTGGGAATTCAGAGACCCCCATTCAGTGACCAAAAAACCCAGGTCAGGGGCCAAATAGTTGAGTTGGCAACAGCTGTTTTTAACTCAGGTTCTTTGGATGACTCCACATCAACTTTAATATCTAAAAATGAGAAAGTAAATGTTTCTCTCCTTGACTCTCTAAAATCCATGACCATCTTCATTAACGTGCAGAAGGTCATTCATTGGGTATTGATTAGAGGTTCATAGGGTTCTAAACCTATGAGAGTGCAGAGTCCTGTGCAGCCATGGAGCTCGGTTGGGTGGTAACATTCATTAACTAGAGAATGAAATTCCTGAAGAAATTGCTAGTGGGAATGCTTTATGATGAAAAGCTGATGCTGAATTGCTATGCTGAAATGTAATGTGTAAGAAGAAAGTGAAGAATTTAGATTGAAATGATACATGAACACTGGGGGCTTGAATGTGTGATGAGTGAAGAAAAGAAAGTAAAAAAGCTTGGAAAAGCAGCAGAATATTTGAACTGCAAACTTTTGAACTAACTTGATGGCGAATGATCTGTCGCCATGCCAACGGCATTTGATGACACCCCATAATACGCTTAGATGCGTTTATGGCTGCATCGTTACCAAACCTGTCAATGTGACATCATCGTGTTCCATGACACAGGTGTTTATATTTGAGCTAACGACGACAGCTGTGTGTCACCAATAATGTATAAAATAGGTGGAACATGTTGAAGTCAGTATGAAGTCTCCATCAGACAGAAAAGAATAGGCTCAGACAATCTGTTAAACTCCAGTGACCACGTCGTTAGCTCAAACACGAACACCTGTGTGTTATGACATCATCGTGTTCCATGACACTGGTGTTTATATTTGAGCTAACGAGCTCTGCAGAGATCAAAGGTTTCCATTGTTCTGAATGAGAGATGAACCTCTTACATGTGAACGTTTTGTGGAAGAACGATAACAGATATCTGTGAAATTTCAAAATGTGAAGCATGTCATGGGAGTTGAGTATCTGAAGTGTAATTTTTGTGTACTTTCGGGTTAATAATGTGGCCTTTTTGGCAGTTTAAGAAAGGTGTGCGGCTGCTGCTGTGAGGAAATATCAGCCTGAAATTACAATGGGTTTTAATGGAGACATGTTGAAAGTTTTTGTCACTTCATGCCCTCAAGAGGCATTTTGTTTAATTATTTTGCTTAATTATTTGTCATTTTTCAAGCTACGAGATGTTTTCCTACGTTTGTCATGACAAATTATGTCTCAAGAATGTAGGGTTTGGGAATTATGGCAGTTTAAAAAAAAATATGAAGGCACATTAAGAATTCCCACACTCTAGCTGTGACATCACGCACTCTAGTTAATGTTAAAATCTGAAGAAAGCCTCTTTACCAAGGTCTGAACAATGTTTAATATCTCTAAAAGTAAGAATCATATTTAAAAGTTGTGTTACACGAATAATGTCAGAAAGATGTGTAACATTTTAAAGTTGGAATGAGGTTTCTGAGTGAAAGTATGAATGAACAGTTAGCAGTTGAAGTCGCATGAAGATTTGTTGAAGTCTGAAGAATTTCTCTATTGACTTCAATGGTTGAAAATGGGATGTATTATGGGATGTATCTCTGGAATTATGAAAGTTATGAATGATAAAAGTAATAGTCTGCGATTCCCGACCGAGCTGAACGTTTTGATGTTTGAACGGAGTTTCTGCGATGTTGAATGTGGGAGAAGACGGACAAAATAAGTGGGTGGAATAATAATAAGAATTTTGTCCGTAGCATAATAGATAGTTGGAATGCTGTATCAGCCAAGCTGACCTGTCCCCCTCCCCACCATTAAGTCCAACTACACGGATGACCAAAGGGTTATCGGGGTTCTTTAGTGACTGCCTCTGTTCCATGGTGAATCATTAGCAGCTGGGACAGGACTTTCTCCTCAGACTACAGCTACACAGCTTCCGTACATTTGAAGGAGCTCTTGGGAGATGTATACATTGGGCATAGACTGAATAGTACATTTTATATATACAACTACATTTTTGTGTTCCATTTTCAGATTGATAATAAATGTAGGACATGTGTCAAGTTAAAAGCTAAATATGATACACCAGGAAATGTATTCATTTGAAAGAAATGATGTCTTTGAACAACATTTAGTTTCATGAACATGTATCTGTTATGTAACCCCCCCTGTGTATCAGCTCAGCAGCCGGACTCCTGCAGCACTGCACGTTCCAGGCCACGGGGGGGCAGTAGGTCCATGCAGGACCTACATGCAGGGGTGCCGTAAGGGGGTGAAAAGTTAGGACGATTCTAAGGGCCCGTGACTGACAGGGGCCCAAACCATTTTAGAACATTAAGTAAGTAACCAATGTGATTATCTTTTCATGGGGCCCAGAATCCCTGGCGGCGCCCCTGCCTACATGTGATGTATGCTCCCAGTGCCCCCTGGACCCAGTGAACTCAACACCCATATGGAAGTACTTGGCTGCAGCCCAGCACATGCCTTTTCTTTGTCCTCACATAACCGGGCTGACTTTATATGGCTGGCTCTAAAAGTCATTTAAGATCACCAAGTGTAATGTTCCTCAGGGCAGTCCCTTTCCCCCGCTTCAGACCCCTCTCTAGTTTCTTTGTTGTGTTTTGAAAGTAGATGTTGCTGTTAGTAAGAGCTGTGTTTCTCTCAGGTATGTACAGATGGTGAAGAATGAAAGGCCCCTCGTAGCCTTCTCCTCTTTTGATTTGGCTTTCCTCTCCATTTGCTCCGCCAGCCGTGTGCACTCTGAACATGGCGTTAGTGCTGCAGAGTGTTTGGGAGCTGCTGCTGACCTCCATGCTTTCTTTTCTTTCATTTGAGCCTTTAATCATTTATGATTAGCCTAGATGTGATTTACTGTCTCTTTTTTTCTCGCCTGATGCCATTGGGATTGGCGTGAGACTCGGGTCAGCCTGCGGAGTGTTTCCAGGTCAGGCAGAAGTAGGTCACGCTGTTCCCAGTGTCAGAGCCTATAAGTTCACAGTGTGTGATGACAGCCTGACTCCACAGGGATACACAAGCAGACTTTGTGTAGCGCTCATATATGTAACAAACACTTTCCATCTATACCGCTGCACTACAAGCCCACATTCTATCATGTCATAATTCACTTATTTTATATTAAACCCTCGTTTAAAGTCAATGTATCACAACTTTCCAGAGCTTTACAAAGCTGCCGATTTTAGGGATCAGAATTTTCTAGAAATATAGGTTTGAGGTTTCCAATAATTTTCCCTTGAAACTATTTAAATGATGACATTAAAATAATAATTGTATATAAATACAGTAGAATAGACTCTGTCGTCCTGTCTGTGTGACAGTATGTGAGTGTGTATGAAGACAGCTGAAGAACAGAAGCCACCGGGGTAGTTTTCATCCTCTCCTCCATCACTTTCCCATTTAAGAAAAGTAACTTGGGTCTGCTGTGGCTAGAGAACATCAGCGTGTTGGAAATCCTCCAGCATGTTCATATAACCTTACAGGGCAATTACTGCAGGATTATTTCCATATGCCTATTTCTCCGATTACACAAAGAGGTTCACTTTCCAAGAATCAAGGGCGCAGATTATCTCACTTTTTAAAATAATACATATTAATAATAGTACATGTGGGTCACTGTCTGGTTATTACCAAAGTCCCAGGTACAGCCACCCCCCCGCAGCCTGATTAAAGCGCCCCGACAGATCCCTCTCTTCTTGGACTATCATGCAGTTTGGAGATTTGTAGTAGACATGCACAGTGAAGGGACATCACAATGGAGTGTCATAAGACATAGCCGACAGGATTAACGCTCTTTTTTAACCATTTATTTGCAGTATTTGTTTTTTTTGCTCAAGCGATAACAAACAAGAACACAAAACATTGTGAAGCGATCACACTTGGTGTTGAGAAGTCGTGGAAATTGTCATATTGGTCATGGCGGGAAACCTGCTTTAGGGAAC